TATCCAATCAATACTAAGGTAAAATGTAATTTGATACAATAAACATTTAATTCATCAAATCAACATCAAATTAACATTCATTTTAACCAATTAAAATTCAATTTCATCTAATAAACATTCAATCCATCAAATTAACATTCAAATTCAACTATTTAACATTAAATTTATCAAATTAACATTCAATTTTATCAAATTAATATTCAAATCATCAAATTAACACGAAATTAACATTCAATTCATACCATTTATTTACAAATTCATCCAATTAACATTTAATTGATCAAATTAACATAAAAAATCATCCAATAATGATTTAATTTATCAAATCAACATCAAAATAATATGCAATTTCATCCAATAAACATTTAAGTATTCAAATCAACACCAAACTAACATTCAATTCAACAAATTAACATTCTATTTTATCTAATAAACATTCAATTCATCAAATTAACATTGAAATTTAACTATGTAACCTTAAATTCATCAAATTAACATAAAATTTTATCCAATTAATATTCAATTCATCAAATTAACTCCAAATTAACCATTCAATTCATCAAATTAACATTGAAATTAAACTAGCTAACATTAAATTCACCAACTTAACATTTAATTCCATCCAATTAATATTTAATAAAATTAGCACCAAATTAACATTCAATTTATCCAATTTATATTCAAATTCATCAAATTAACATTCAAAATCATCCAATAAAAAATTAATTTATTAAATTAACACTAAAGTAACATGAAATTTCATTCCATAAACATTTAATTCATCAAATCAAAAAAAAAAAAAAAGAAACAAAAAATTGGAATACTAAAGACTCCTAGTCGACCAAGCCTTTGCTAGAGGCCTATATATTCACATTGATGAGACCAACCATCTCAATCTTCTTCCTTACAATCACACCTTTTTTTAAACTCTCTACAAATGTCTTCATCACAATCTTCTTCTAGAGGAATAGAAAAGGTCAATCATCCAATGACGCCTTTAGGAGCTAAATTTGACGATAAGCCTCTGTGGAATCATGTAAAGGTTCTCAATGTGGCTGAAGGTGGAGGTGTAAATCGGACCTGGGTGTGCAATTACTGCAACAAGAGAGTTGTTGGGTCATACACAAAGGTCAACGGCCACCTGATGAAGCTTCCTCACCACAATGTTGAAAGTTGTCCTGCCATAAGTGATGATGTATTGAAAGCCATAAAGAAGGAGCATGAAGAAACTGAAACTAAAAAGTATCAACAAGCTGTGAATGCAAGGAAAAGGGCAAATTATGTCACCATACCAGATGTTACTGACCTTTTCCAACAGAAAAAACGCAAGGGAATCGCCTCTCAAGGTCCTTTACCTTCGGCATTCAATGTTGCGGACAGAGATGTTGCTAACAAAGAAGCTGCTCGGATGTGCTATGCCAGTGGTTTGCCATTTAATTTTTCAAGGTCTCCCTATTTTTGAAAGTACTCACTAACCCTTGGAAATTCGAGGTATGGGGTCATGTTTATCCTTCCTATTGCCATTTAATTTTTGCACATCCCAGTGATCCCACCTATTTTTGAAATACATACTAATCCTTGAAAATTGTAGGTTGGCTGGTTATGTTCCTTCTACATTCAATAGGCTGCAAACAACTTTGTTGTACCAGGAAAAAAAATATGTCAATAGGTTGTTGCAACCAATCAAAGATACGTGGAGTAAGAGAGGTGTTTAAGTGGTATCTGATGGGTGGTTTGATAGGCATCGGAGGCCTCTGATCAACATAATGGCAGCATCTGCATGAAGATCCATGTTCATAAAAGCCATTGATGCTAGCGGAAATACCAAAGGTGCAGAGTACATTGCAAACTTGTTAATGCAAGTGATCAAGGAATTAGGAGAAGAGAATGTGGTCCATATTGTAACTGATAATGCATCGAACTACAAGGCTGCGGGGTTGAGCATTGATACCAAATACCCACATGTTTTTTGGACTCCATGTGTTGTGCACAGTCTCAACTTGGCCTTGAAGAGCATCTGCAACCCAACAGAAAAATCACCTTAGCATACCCAATGTAAGTGGATTTCAGATTTGGCTAAGCAAGTGCAAGATATTTGTAATTTTATTCTCAACCATGGCACAACAAATTTCCTCTTCACCAAGTACTCTAAACTGAAATTGCTAACTGTGGCTGAAACTAGATTTGCATCTAGCTTTATCATGGCTAAACGATTAAGGGAAGTCAAATAATTTCTTGAAAAAATGGTCATGGATCCAAACTGAAAAACATATAAGGCAAATGGAAACACAGTTGCTAAAAATAAAGCTCGTGATGTAAAAAAATGCATTGTTGATGACACTTTTTGGGATAATTTAGATTATCTTCTAAATTTTATTGAACCTATCATTGACATGTTGAGGATAGCTGACACAGACACCTCAGTTTTGCATCTAGTATATGATATATGGGATACTATGATTGAAAATGTCAAAAGGAGGATTTTTGAACATGAAGGAAAAGACATGATTATTGGTCAATCGGACTTTTTGTATGTTGTTCACCAAGTTTCAGAGGGGAGATGGAACAAAAGTAATACTCCTTTGCATTGTATGGCACATTCATTGGTCCCGAAGTACTATTGTAATGCTTGGCTAAATAGTGGAGGTAATGGAGTGGCACAGGTAGCGCCACATGAAGATCAGGAAGTCTCCCTAAATAGAGGAAAATGTTTTAAAAGGCTCTTTCCTAATCAAGCTGATTTGCGAAAGGTGTATGCTGAATATGGAACATTTTCTAGTGGGTCTGACTGTTTCGACCAAGCTCATGTTGTCGATGCAAGAATGTTTGAGGAACCTATTTCTTGGTGGGCAAATCTTGGGGCTTCATCACCCTTGCTACAAGTCTTGGCCTTTAGATTGCTTTCACAGCCAACATCTTTCTATTGCTGTGAGAGGAATTGGGCACCTATTCTATGATTCAAAGTGTGAAAAGAATCGACTAGCAACAAGCCTTGTTGAAGACTTGGTGTTTGTGCATTGCAATCTTTGCCTACTCTCAAAGAAGAGCAAGGAGTACAAAGATGGACCTTCAAAATATTGGGACATAAGTAAGTTTACTTTTTATTTTAACAATCCAAGTATTTGTACTGTATACTATATATTATATATATATATATATATATATAGATATTGATAATTTTTAGGTGGAGATGAATTTGACATTGAAGGCCAAGAAGTGGGAGAGCATGCACAACTTTCTCTTGATGAACCTGAGTTGAAAATGATGGCTTTTGAGGATTGAGGAGGGTGAAGGCACAAGGTGTACAGCCAAATGAAGATGAAAAATGAAAAGTCTTTTTGCAAGTTGCAAGTAGACTAAGTATTAAGTATGATGGAATAAGGAGTACTACTTTTTTAAGTATGCTAGACTAAGGAGTACAACTTTATGTTGTTTTGGGTTATGTAATCTGGGAACAATGTTTGAAATTTCTGGGTCCTTTTGGTCTATTTATGACCTAGATCAATTGTTATTATGGAGCCACCAGATTTTAGTATCAAGCTTATTAATATATAATGGCATTTCTTCATTTTGTTGTGTCTTGAAAGCAATTTTTTTAACTCTAAACAATGCACAAATTATTTCTTGCAAAATAAAATTAGACCGTATCCCCGTACCCGTATCCAAATATGGATCCATATTCTTGTATCCACTATTTTTTGACTTGAGATGTTAGACACCTAAATTCACACTCATACCCAATACCTACACCCGCGTTCGAGTAACATAGGCTATGACACCCCTCTTTTCTGTGGACTCTTTGTCTTATGTATGTTTTGGTTATACTGCCACCCTTGCTTTTGAGGACACTCAAACTCGATGAGGTGTCGAGAGCTTTGCCAAAAGAGAGGTGGGCGTGCCAGGTTGCTGAGAAACAGTTAAGGCTGAGTATGTCTTAAGGCCGAGTTTCTGGTTTCTAACGAATCATGAATGCGCGAACCTGGAGATGTAGATTGCTTAAGAGCAAAGGCAAAGTGAGGTCGAGTATTTGAAAACTCTCGTGAGAGCCGCTAAGTTGGAGATATAGTCTGCTTGAGAGCAAAGACAAAGTGAGGCCGAACTTTTGGCAACTCTCATGAGAGTCGCTAAGCTGGAGATATAGGTTATCTACGTAAGGGTAGAGGTAGAGTGAGGCCGCTCTTTTGACAACTCTCGTGAGAGCCGCTAAGTTGTAGACATAGTCTACTTGAGAACAGAGGCAAAATGAGGCTGAGCTTATGACAACTCTCATGAGAGTCATTAAGCTAAAGATATAGGTTGTCTGCTTGAGAGCAGAAGCAAAAAGAGGCTGAGCTTTAGGCAACTCTCGTGAAAGCTGCTAAGCTAGAGACATAGGCTGCTTGCATAACAGCAGAGATAAAAAGAGACTGAGCTTTTGACAACTCTTTTGAGAGCCGCTAAGCTGAAGAAATAGACTACTTGAGAGCAAAGGCAAACTGAGCTTTTGACGACTCGTGAGAGAACTACTAAGCTGGAGATTGAGGTTGTTTGCTTGAGAGAAAAACAGAGTAAGGTCGAGCTTGTGGAGACTCGTGAAAGAACCGCTAGGCTGAAAACATAGACTGCATGAGAGCAGAGGCAGGCCTAGCTTTTGGCGACACATAAGAGAGCTACTAAGCTGGAGATTAAAGCTACTTGCTTGAGAGCAGAGGCCGAGCTTGTGGCGAATCATGAGAGAATTGCTAGGCTGGAAACATAGACTGCTTGAGAGTAAAGACAAGCCAAGCTTTTGGCGACTCGTGAGAGAGTTGCTAAGTTGGAGATTGAGGTTGTTTGCTTGAGAGCAGAGGCAGAGTTAGGTCAACATTTGGATGACTCAGGAAGCTCTCTCCCAAGAGATGGAAAGGACAATGAGGGTAGCCAGAGGGCACCAGTAGGATAGAGTTGGTAGTGTTGGAATCGAGGTCATTTTATACACCAGGAGGTACCAAAGGCACTGTTGGATGAGCAAGGCACGCGACATGGACGGTGTGCCCAAGATGGCAAGGAGGTAAGCGAGCGATAAGGCAATCACCAAGCCAGGGTGCACAGGCAGGTAAGGATGTTGGCATCGTTGGGCGAGGCTAGGCATTAGAGGGGATGACAGTGAGCCGTTAGGCGACACCATGGAAGATAGGGGCGTTAAGGGAGGTCGTGGCATGCAAGAAGGCGGCACCAAGGGAGGTATCCAAGGCAGTGCTGAAGGTGGCACTAATCACGCCATGCTAGGGGACACCAATAATATAGGTAGGAGTGTAGTAGCTGGCAACACCCATGGCTGTGGGTAAGGGTGAAACCAGAGTGGCGGTTAGCCCCCATGGCGCGGGTAAGGGCAACCCCTGAATGGCAGGCAGCGACTATGGTACAGATGTTGGTGTGCTTGGCAAGGCAGGGCACTGGCTGCGTGGGCGAGGAGGTAGGGTGCAAAGCATGGATGCACGCTGTGCGCTAGCGAGGAGGTAGGCACTAAGGCAGGATAAAGGCTTGGTGATGCTTTGGGTCATCCATGGGCGAGGACAGACAGTAGAGGGAAAGAAAGCGATGTTAGAGGGGATGACAACGACCCTGAGCTATTAGGCGATGCCATGGAAAATGTCGGTGCCAAGGGGTATCAGTGGTGCCATTAAGTGCCTGGGCAACATAGAAGCAAGAGGAAAGGTGTTGGGTGGCCCCCATAGCACGAGTAGGGGGCGAAGCCGAATGTCTTGGAACGGGTGGTGCCCATGGCACATATGAGGGCGATGGCGCTTATAGCGCGTGATGGAGGCACGCTGGAGGCAGCAAGGATGGAGACGTCGACAGAGGAAGACTGGGTGGTGCCCTGGGCAGCACTGGCCACGTCTAGGCGACGTCGGGGCTGGTCTAGGCACGTCTAGACAACGCCATGTTCTGGTGTGGGGTGGTATGGGCGATGCCAAGGATGGCGCTAGCACGTGCGAAGGCGAAGGCTTTGGGTGAAGTATGACAATATGATGAAGAAATGACAAAACTCTAAATGTCCATAACTTTGCGCTCGATTGTCCATTTAAGGCGAATTTTTTTTTTTTTTTGAATCCGGATATTTTTTCAAGATCTATGACAAACAAACCGCCAAAGGCAGTTTGGGCACCAAATTTTCTCAAAAAAAAAATTACTTTACACTAAATTTGAGTTTAAACACAAATTAGTGAAAAAGTAGAATTTTCTCGTGTCTACTCTTCTCCGATGGTGGCTGGACCTTGTCATGATGTGGCAGGTCATCTTCTGCTTGGTGGTTCATGGATTTGGTTGTGGTTGCCATTAGAGGTAGAAAGACTGTAGGATGAGAATCAAACTGTTCTCACAGACGGCGTCAAACTGATAATATACAAAAATGGATTATATATCACCTGTCGAATAATTAATATAGGTAATAAATGCAGTAAATATAATGGTGAGATCAACACAAGCAACACAGATATTAAGTGGTTCGGCCAGGATGACCTACTCTATTTTGAATGCGACAATGGTGGTCGGAGGAATTTATTGATAAAATAGCAGGTGGGAGAGAGAGAGAGAGAGAGAGAGCAAAAGTTAGCTCAAGGTGGGGTGTTTTTGTGTGAGAGATAGTTGTGAGAGAGATGTCCTTCCTTCATGTGTTGAGGGTTTTCAATTTGTTGGCACAGAGCCTTAATTGAGTCGGTGACATGAGGGTCGGGCTACTAGTCTTTCAGGGAGGATAGTTACAATTAAGGATAGGTGTTATCTTCGAGTAATGGTTATCCCGATGTCTATTCCCCACGTGTGTTAATCTTCTTAGACTCTTGAGCTTTGATCTGGACTGAAGTCATGAGCTAAGTCTGGTCTGCCTTTTGATGATTTGGGCTTAACTCATGAACTAGACACAGGCCTGATCTAAATTTGGGCTCGTCTTTTAATGGATAAATACACAGTAAATAGAACTAATAAAACAAAATTCTTTTATTAATTCAATCAAAAGGACTTCGGTTACGAAAAAAACTGAATAAACAAACCTTGATTGTAGCAATAACTACATCCTAAAACTAATCTAAAATTACTCCTAAAATGCCCAAATCGTAGATCTTGTGGGGTTTTAAATGTATCTTCTATCTTTTCCACTACATTCCCTTTTATAGTCAATATCTTCGACGATTTTGCTTCCATTGACGGTTATTAGAGAATTACCATCAGTTAGTTATTTTCTCTTTTCATATATGATTGTGGCTGATCATTTCCTGCCTCTCTTCAAATTCTACCATGTGGCATCTTCTTAGTATATCCAGATTGTCAGATGTCGATATGTTGAATATTTATAAGATTTAATATTTTATGTCCAAACACTTGGGCATTGAAAATTCAGCTTTGGATATTGCTGAGGCTGATAAAGGAACATACTGATGGTTTGCACAATGGATCAAGTAAATCTGCTGTTCGTTACACATAATAAGCCGCTCTTCTGCCTCTGATATTCATGTTTTGCCATTGAATTTTTGCAAGACATTCTAGTTTTAATTGTTTAGATGATTTTTACTTTGGAAATTTTTGTTGTTCTATTTCAGCAACATTGCCCCTGAAAGGGGTTTTCCATTTTTCAACCCTGTAAACTTGTAATCGAGTTTCATTTCTCTATCAATAGAAGATTTTATTTTTCTAACCAATTTCTGCTGGGAGCATGATATGTGTACTCTGCAATACTAAGTCACTCTATTCCTCATGTCACCTTCTATGCAGTTTGATTCATTTCTGCTAATGGCAACTTGGCACAAAATGAACCAGCATGAGGTGTTACTGAAATTGGTCATACTGAACTGCGCCTTCGTTCAAATAATATATGTTTGAAGCTGTGATTCTCTTTTTGCACAATAAAGACACAAAGTACGGCATTGTTTAGCAACAATAAGTAACCGGTTCAAACAAGAATCACAGAGGCTTTAGCTAGACCAGCTTCTAAAATCTTGGTAGGAGTGAGAGACTGTAATTTGAAGGGTTCTTTATTAAACAGGTCACAACAGCCCATCCTCATAATGGAACTATTGATTCATCCTTTTATAAAAGAAGAAGAATCATGAAAAAGAACTGAAGCACATAGAAGTTTATACATCACTGATGAGATGATTCCAGTTCCATATACTCAGCACCATACAAGAACTAAGTTGAAGGTGCAGTAGTTTCAAATGATTTTTTCCTAACTAAAAGGCAAGTGATCTTGGATGGTTGAGCATGCTTATTATCAACTGTACACACCACAAAATCAGGCCGGTGGAGCGCAAGGTTTAACCGGTCCTTCCCAATATCCAGGGCAGTCGCGTCAAGTAAAACATGCCATGAATTCCTGTGTGCCTCCGAGATCCAATGCATAGAGTAACGCGTTCCATTCAAATCAGCAGGGTAGGCGAAAAGCCCCTTGGGACAATGTTTACACTTCCTTCTAAAATACTGACTAAGTTGTGAACCTTTGATCCTTAAATCAAGCCAAGTTTCTGGTGCTGCAATAACCTTTGAATCTTTTGAACCAACAAATTCCCTTACACAATCATGTTCTTCCCCAACAATGGTCATATAATAGTTACCTCTGAAGAAAGGATATGATTCACCTATCATCATCATAGCTTCCTTCAAAGTGGGCGTGAAAAGAACCAAATACTCATCTTCATTTAGCCCACAATGCTGCAAAGCTCTGTTTCGGACTTGGATTTCTGGGATAGACATGAAATTCCCTTGAAATGAAGATTTTTTTGTGAGGATATCAAGCAGTTTTGAAGGCTCCAACTGTGTTCTGTCCAGATCAGAAGTGATACTTCCAAAGGAGGGCGAAGATGACTCTCTTATGCCAGTGCTCCTTGGGGATTTTCCCTTTTCATCAGGCATAATCTCTGAAGATTCATCATTTATACAAAGGCTATAGAGATCAATCTTGTCTCCTTCTTCAACAAGGCCATTGCAGTATTCTGGATACTTGGCAAAGACATACTGTTGTACATATAGCCTCTCATTTGGTGTAATTGGACCAGACCATCTCAGGTCAAGGCCATGGAGTGTTGATATGGCTTCAGCCACCAAGTGAGCCGGAATCACTGTGTGTACTTTCTGTTTTGTCACTCCAAAATCAATCGGAAAAGTACCACAATCAGAACACATCCACAAGTATACAGAATTCAGCAGCAATACAATCAAAGATGCGAGCGAAAATATGTGTTTGATCCAATCAAACAAGCAATCACACAACTAGAAAGCACGTGATTTTTACATGAAAACCCAAAACTAAGGAATAAAAAAACCGAACTAGAATTTGAACTTGCCTTGACAACCATGCTGGTTGGTCTGCTAGTTTGATTTGGTGATTTGGACAGAGAAGATAACGATGATTCTCCTCCGAATTCACCTTCTACCATACCCTGATTATAGAGAGAGTCGAAATTCATGAATAGAAAAATTCGAAGCCTTAACAGTGAAGGTGGTTAGGAATTACTAACAATGCAGACCAGAAGTAACAAAATCCTAAAGATTACCTTGGATTCTCCAAGTAGAACTACGTGTTCTTGCACGTTCCTTCCCATGATGCTTCAACACTTGATGAAACTAGAAACTGAAGTATGGAGTGGCGAATTAAAATCTGGAAGCCAATAAGAGAGAGAGAGGGGTAGAGGTGAAGAGCAGAGTGAATTAAATTCACATAGACATGTCTAGATGCATAATGAGATGCCAAATATATTAGAAACCTGGCGACAAACAGCGAAACGCCGACACTGACGACAGCAATGATCTACGACATAGAACAAAAAACCACTAATTCAAATGAACATATAATATATGCCACGCCAATTGAGTTTGGTCTCATCAGATTACACAAAAGGCTAACTAATACGCAAGTGTTTGATGAAGACCCGTCAACATGATGTAGCTATAGCCTTTCATGTTTCTTCACTGGTTCCTGTAAAAAAGTTGTTTTGGGGGATTCTTATATCGTAAAAAAAATATGATCTTCTACGAGTTTAGATAAAATTCTACTAAACCATGTTCATTGCACTATACATTAACATCAACAACCATATTTCGACTACCTCAAGTTGCAACCCATCCTTAAACCAAGTGGGTTTAGCTTTGTAAAATGAATTAGCTCTATGAGTTAAAAAAATCACACCCCCCTTTTTATAACTGTTTCAAACCTTGTGGAACTCTGATTGAAACTATGATAGAGTCAACAAGCCATCCCCACCGGAACATCAATTGAGTTTGGCGTGCAATGCACCCTTTTCATAGTCAATTGATTTTGTATTAGGAACCTACTATAGTCGCTGAGACGGGGAACAAAACTTGAAACAGCACATACGAAACGGCAACGACCCAAAACATTATATATATTTACTTGCATATGCTAAGTCACCACAGAAATATAAAAATGTGGAAGAGATAGTGACTATGTGAGCATTTGTGGACGTTGAAGAGGGCATATGGACACCAATTCAAAAAAGAAGAAAAAGAGGGGCATGAGGATGGGTGGGTCCCAGTTGAATGACATAAGATTCCAAAGAAAACTACAGGAAGTTAGAATCCATTGGTATTTGAGAGAAGGACAGGTCTTGGGGTCGACCTATGACTCGATTTAATACACTAGACAATAATGATAAGATTAACAATAATAATACCGATAATAATAAAAATAATGTGTTCATAGTTTGACCAAAAGCCAATTGACAAAGGAGTCCACTGCTCTGATGCGATTGGCAGGAAGGAATCTTTATTGGCAATGTTTGAAGCTTTCGCATAACACAAGAAGCCAACTGGTTGTGCAATCAATTGACAAGTATATGTGCATCTTATTCCATAATTTTTCCCGGTTGGTTTCTATTCTTATAGACAAGTATATGTGCAATCAATTGACAAAAATCAATGGAACTATTCAGCAAAAACAGTCATGAGAAAAATTATAAGCGTCTCATCCACTTCAATAGCGTATATATAGTTTCTTTAAATTAAACTCATAACTATGTCGAGAAAAAAGAGTATTCAAGGGATTCAGATTTCATTTGGTACATGTTTTTATGATATAATGTAGCCCCCAATCGAATTTATGACAAGTGGTTGAAAGAAAGTGTGTTAAAAGAGATTCAAACCCGTTTGCATATAATCTTTTACCACCAAGCTAAATCAACTAAATTTTAAAGGTTACTGGTAAATACATATCCAGTTAAGGGTGGAAGTAGCTCAGATTATTGCTCAAGGCTTTGGTAGGAAATGACCAGCCTTGGCAGAACCATAAGACCATGGGTCGTAGTAAGGTAAGTTCCATCTTCTTCAGCCATTAATCATCAGTTTTGTCACTTGACATGGGACAAACCTGGGCAGCTACTCCACCAGTAAACTGATGCTTGGCTTCGGTCAAAGCTGCTTGAATGGCTTATTGATAGTAGCCACTTGGCAGTTGTGATAAAGTGGTCAAAGAGTCAACTGCTCCACAACACTGGATATGCTGATGAGGTCACGGGTGCCAACGACCAATAACGATGGCTACATAACTTTGACTCTTTGGAGTTTTGTTCCAACAGCATCTCAAAAACTTACAGATTATAAGGTACTAAGTACTAAACAGAACATCTCCTACCAAAGTCATGATGCTAATCAGACTTGATGAGCCACTAACCATAAATTCTACAAGAAGCATGAAAATGAAAACATTATATACATATAATAACGGATACATATGTTAGGTATCTATCCAGAAGTAATGAAGCATGAAATGGTTCCCGTGGCTGTGAGTTCTGGAAAAATTGCAGGAGGACAAACATTCTGGACAAGTCAATTTTACATGCTCTAGAATCAAATTCAATCAGCTAAGTTGCGGTATCATCCATCTCTCCAGACCGCAAGTTATCTAGGTAAGTAACTCGAACATGAAAATCTCATGGTGTTCGCTGCTCCATTACCTCTTCCTAAAATTTTCTCCTCATAATGAGAGTTAAAACTTAAAAATAGTTGTAATCAAAAACCTACATTTTGTTGACATAACAATATCCAATCCATCTTGTGCACAATACAAAATGGTTGAGTATCAAACCATTCTTATCCTACAACGATTTGATTGGTCAAGCAAAGACAATTATATTAGAACTATTGGGGTGGACAAACTAAAGACAATAGATGCAAAAGATGGACAAATACAAAAAAAGAACTCTACAAAAAATATTTCATCCGCACATCTCTCCTCATGGCATTGTACACAGCTTGAACCTGCAAATCACAATAAAATTACAAGTCGTCAATACTATTCATCCAGAATGTCCAAAATGACTAACAGTAATCCTCCATCTACATTCATCCACATAGAGACACAAAATATAAACCATGCATGCAAATCAGAAGTGAAGATGAAGTTTCATTCATCTTATTCAATGCTTTTTGCAGTTTATATTTGTTTATGTTATGATATAATCACTACTATTTTTTCCTAGTATGGGAGAGGCTGCATCATAGAATCAGACCAACCAAATAGATAAATGGCAGAGAGATAGAGAGAGAGAGAGAACCTGCTCACTAGATACAACATGAACAGGTCCGATGTTTACTGATACATATTTGCCCCTGGATGATATTTTTTGCTTCACTTGGCCCTGTTGCAGAACACGACGCATTACTGGAGTATAATTTAAAAAAACACCAGTTTGGTAAATTAAAACAAAACTGCATTCATTGTAGAAGGGGACTTGATAGAGATCAAAAAGGGATTGGATGAGCTTAAATTGAAAAATTGAATTTTATTATTTAATTTAGTATTATTTTATTAGTTAATGAATATTTGTTTGACTAAAAGTATTAATTAAAATTTGACTAGAAAATTATTATAGAATTTTAATAGAATAAGAATTTGAGAGTTTGATTATGAAACTCTTTTAGTATTTTAGTAGGAAAGTAGTTTTTATTTTAGTAGGGGACTTGGCTTATAAATAAAGGTGTAATCCCAATTATTTTTATTAGAGAGATTATGAATAAGAATTGAGTATTCTCTGCGGAGATTTGTGTGTTTCTTCACCAATTCCTTGCGAGAATGAAGTAAACCCCTTCCACCCCCTCTTCTTTCTTCTTTTCTTTCCATTCTGTGAATTCTAGACCTTCCCAATCTACATCAATTTGGTATCAGAGCCCAACTTTAATTGGTAAAAAAAAAAAAAACTGTTCATCGCGGCACTGTTCACCAGTACTATTCATCGGCGCTGTTGAGTTAAAAAAAAAAAAACTCTCCTAATAGATTCAAAAAATTGCAGCAACATCCCAACTGTTTCAAAAATTACAGAAACACCCTAGAAAGTTTCAGAAGTTGCAAAACTACCACTAGAAGTTTCAGAAATTACAGAATCTTCCCCCCAAAAGTTTTAGAATTACATAAACATCCCCAATATATCCTAAAAAATTACATAATCATCTCCAAAAAGTTTCAGAATTTTCTCTTGATTATGATGGTTTCCAACGCCGAATTAAATGCTAAAGTAGAGGCTTTATCAAGCACAAGTTGATTCCCAAAAGGTTATGAATGTTAGACTAGATACAATTCAAGCATCTATCGATTCACTGAGAAAACTTGTGCTCGCTACAGTTTGTGAAACCAAAACAAATGAAGATTTTAACTTTTTCTCTTCAACTGTCAGTCAAAAAGTGGTTGAACACAGTCCTCCAATTATACCACAAGTTCCACCACCACAAGTTCCACCACTATAAGTTCCAATCCGATTAAATCCCGATAAACTGAAGATATTCAATGTTGATGAGACCAAAAGTTCTACTTATACTCATCCTACAACAAGTGCTTTTGATAAACCGATTGCAAAGGGTGTTCCTACAGATGAAGTTAAGCAAGTTTCAAACGTGATTTTTTTAGATAGGGTTGCTACTTTTTTTTCAACATCCTCACTATCCTTTTTTCGGGAACAAAGCGTGAAGGTTATAAAGATTCGAGATATAAATTCATCCCATTTTGATATCTGAAAATCTTACTTCTATGCTATTGGATTTGAAGATGTGTTTCACCGTCTAATATCAATTCTCTTGGAGTATTTTTGCTACAACAACTCTTCGGAGAAGAGTTTTTTTTCAACCAAGGAGAATTGATAGAGATCGAAAAGGGATTGGATGAGCTTAAATTGAATAATTAAATTTTATTATTTGTTTTAGTATTATTTTATTAGTTAATGAATATTTGTTTGACTACGAATATTAATTAGAGTTTGACTAAGAAATTATTATAGAGTTTTAGTAGGATAAGGATTTGAGAGTTTGATTATGAAACTCTTTTAGCATTTTAGTAGAAAAGTAATTTTTATTTTAGTAGGAGACTTGACCTATAAATAAAGGTGTAATCCCAATTATTTTTATTAGAAAGATCATGAATAAAAATTGAGTATTCTCTGCGGAGATTTGTGTGTTTCTTCACCGATTCCTTGCAAGGATGAGGTAAACCCCTTGCACCCCCTCTTCTTTCTTCTTTTCTTTCTATTCTGTGAATTCTAGATCTTCCCAATCTACATCAGGACTTCAGTCCTTGCAACACAAACTCCACATGGACAATGATTTTCATCTTGATAGGCGAAATGGGGCTTCTAAGATGATGTGGTTTAGTAGGTTCAATAGAGAGTTGCTATATTGTTTTGGTGCCACCAAGTCCTTTATGCTGCAGGAGTTGCAGGTCCCACAGGTATCCTTCGTGTGCTGCAAGTATTTCACCTCCCCCACATCTCTTGCTGGCGCCACTACACAGGTATTTAAATTTGAGGAGAGAATGGGATTGTGCCGGCCACGTGCCTCTCATGATAAGTTAACAAAGAGGACATGAGTCCCCAGTTTGTCGGCCATCCATCACGTGTTTGGCATGTACATGTGACCAATCTAAGAATACCACCGTTAACTTACTATTCTTTCCTAGAAGCAAAATTCCATCAAAATTCTATTACCAGCAAATGAAACATTGCTTTAGTTAATGTCTCTTCTTAGCAGCTGCCTGCTTGCTACCCACTTTGCTTACTTTTTGTTAAATATGCCCCATCAACAGAAATTCTTAAGCTCACTTCATTTTGTGTCACCGCTACAGCTTATTCATTCGTCAACTCCTTCCTTTTACCATGTTCTATTTGGCTAAGTTCTTTAGCCATTAGCACCACATAACATCTACCCTCCCAATCTAGTCAAGCCTCGCTTCACTTGACATTGGATTATTAACCAATCACAACTTCAAAGCCTGGATTATCTAGTTAGAGAAACTTCAGCTGCTCAGAGATGACCTGTTTGTTTAACACCCTCAAAGACCATCATCAATCTCTCGTCATGGCCTACTCAGAGATGGCCTGGTTGGTTTGACTCACTATTTTCAAAAGCATCATCATCATCATTGTATCACCCCCTTTAGAATGCGTAGGTCCCAGTATTTATAACATTACCATAACATTTAGTTAATTCTATCAAGGGATACATGAAGTATGAGCCTTCATCCGATCAAGTCATCCACAGTAAAAATTTCAATTTTGATCTTTCGAAATAAATTTAGAGGGTTGTCCATAACTATTAGAATTTTGCAGGAGATCAATACAATAACACCACCTACATTAGTCTCTTTGCCTTGTCGGCCCCTTCACTCATATGTTTTGAGTTGGATGCTTTAATGATATCCTTGCTAAAACTATATATGTTCATACAGCCTCCAGTAACTGCATTTGGCAGTCTAACTTTAGCAGGCACGTTCACATTATCATCTATACAAACATTAACACTTAGGGTCTAACTTCCAAGCGAGCAAGAGCTGACTTTCATTAAGACATTGAATACACCCAGTGAAAGTAAAATTCCTACTAAAAATTAACAAGCCTTAAATTTTCAGTTCTAGACATCCAACCACTTAAAATATTCCACACTACAACTTCAACATCAAGAAGCTTTGGTCCTAAGTTATCAAGCAAATCAAATAACACCTATGCCCTTGAGATCTCTTTTGAAATGTTTCCGCGGGTAAATGAAGTCGGTAATAGGAAGCCAAATTTTCTTTTCTCCTGTTTGGATGCTCATGTTAATTTTTGCCCATTGCTCCTACCTACAATTTGTCACAGTTCTCACAGATTGCATATATAAAACATCTACAGATGTGGCATCATATTATCCACCAGAGTTTTTCTTCATAAGGTGTGAATCAATCAAATCAACAGCTCTTGTCAAATACGAAGTCCAAGCAACTTGCATAAACCATCTTGCTAGCAAGTCTAACCAGAATCTGTTTTGTGATATTAATCTTCTATATAGTTAGCAGAACCAACCACCTCACATTGTATCCATAAGATTAATGTCCCTGATAATTTCTCTACGCAAATAGTTCAGTTTTTGTTTGCTTGTCCCTACTTAACTTCTTCTCTATCAAGTCTGTTTAACTCGTCCACATCGTTCCGAAGGAAATATCCCCAACATGAAATCTTGATCTAATTAACAGGACATGAATATCTGATGAGGTTTTCAGACACTGAAAAATGAAACGCAGAGCAAGGGTAAACTTATCAATGCAAGAAACTAAATAAGTCAATGTGAAATGGAAAACCAGGCTATCTATGCCACAAAATGGATTATCAATGCATCAAGGAACAAACATGTTCACAGATACCCTTATCAACGGCAACCCAAGGAAAAATTTACCTCTGGGATTGGCTGCTGAAGTACTGATTCAACAGCAACAACCATGGCTTGCACAAAATCGTCACCTCCTGTTCCAATTGCTGTAAACCCTCTGACCGTCGGATAAGAGTTTACCTATTAAACAACAAAACACAAATCAACTAACAGATTGTGAACAAATGTTGGCCATGGACCCTCAAATTTGGACCCTGAGTCCAATATGTATCAATTGTTGAGCATGGGTCTACTTACCATCTAATGGGGTAAATTGGTAAAGCTGCAACATTTTAGCCTTTAATAAGTCCATTAATATTATTTTTTTAAAGTGTTTCAGGTCTCTTAGTTGCACTAAACTGCATCAGGTATAGATCACAATATTAATTGTCTCAAAGTTGGAATCTGCAAGGGACAATGTAGCCTAAAGGCTCAAAGAAGTAAATAAGCAATTCATGACTGCAAAGAGGACATGAGCAAAACAAACGATATTGTACCTTCTGATCCAGAGTAAGCCACTCGTTGGTGGAATCATCCGTCACTGTACCTCCAATAACCACATTAGTCGTTTGCCCCACTCTCCCTTCTGTCTTCGACACTTCTGAACCCATGCCAACAATAAGTCCACATTGATAGACATTCTCGCATTGAAAAATACTCACTCACACAACACAACACACACACACACACAAAAGCAGAGCCAGCACCATTTCTATAGCTTTTTAGACTATGGCAGACAAATTTGGATTTCGGAAAGCAAAAAGGGGAAAAGGATCAATGCAAGAACACCCATATATATTCTAAGAATACGTGTAAACTATAAAGTCATCAATGCTTCACAATAATTTGTTCAATCACTTTTGCAAAATTTTCTATTCACCACCTTTCTTAAGCTTTCATTACACAGTTATACACACATATGCACTATGTTATGGTACACAATTCATGGAGAAAAATAAAACTGAAGAGAAAAGCATATCCAAAATGGGTGAACCACACAATCTACAGACGGACCTGAAATTGCCTTGAGAACAGCTTCTTGAGGTGGACCTTGGTCTGGGTCATCCTGCGATGATGATGGGTTTTCGTTATTGGAGCAATTAAGATGATGTGATCGTCGTGCAAAGTTGTAATCTGTCCTGCTAATTCTACAGCCACACCTTAAACTGGGTGCTGAAGATTTCAGGGTAAATAATGGAATGGAAAAGGTGGCTCGATTAGGAGGCAAAGGTCGCAATGGGTCTGTCAAGAAGACGGTTCTCAAAACAGTCCTGCACGCCATTTCTGAACCTTTCGATTTTTCCGTATTGGTTTCACCATGTACATATATCACTTGCTTTGAATCACCCCCGGATAAAAAGGATAGTTAGGCGATTTGCCTCTCGGCGATGATACGAGCGCTACTAAGATGAGATGGGCACCCTCCATTGCTAGTAGTATAAAGACAAAATTGTCCTTATGGTGTCCTTTTTTTCTTTTTCTTTTTTTGATCTCTTTTATTTCACTTTTTTAGGTTAACAAAATGTGGGAAAAGAATAGGAACAGCTCTATTCAGAAATAAAAAAAAATAAAAGTGAGAAAGGAACAGTTCAATTTAGAACAAATTTGGTTACAATATAACTTGTTTTAATCACACAATCAACCAAGTGTGATCTTCAAAATATCACACCCATTATTATTCAATTCAATACAGTTCCATGTTTCATTTAAGCCATGAATCTCATGCGACTTAGTCAAATTGTCGAAAATGTTCTTGAGTGAACTCTCAATGGCCTGATTGATATTATTCTATGTTTATGCAATATGCCTAAATTGTTTGTTATGTTCAACTTTCTTATTTTGTTTAATATTTCGTGCTCATCACTCAACATTTTATCACGATATCGTGATCAACACGTATCAATGTCCTACAAGTCTATGGTCGATATTGCAATCTTAAACCATAACCCTCAATCAATGTTAATTATCAATTTGCTAGTTATATTTATAAGTTGTTGCCTCAATACCATTACCTCTTCGCCTCAATATCATCATCTCTTCGTACTACTATCCTCTCATCTTTGTTAGTTAGTCTAAAAATATGTAGTTTGTGATCTTATGTTGAGAAAGAAGTGTCAATCCTCAATCCAGGTTCAAACAAAAATAATTTTTTTTTGATGAGCTTACATCTAGATCAAGCTTGGTCCCAGTCTATAGGTTAAACCCAAATTATCAAATAGTAAGTCAAGCTTACCTCGTGACCTTAGTCTAATTTAAAGCTTAAGAGTTCAGGAAAAGTCAACGAACGTGGAAGAGCAATCATCGAAATAACCATTACTCCAAGATAGTGTCTATCTCTAATTGTAGTTGTCATCCCTGATAAATTAGTAGTTTAACATTCATGTCACTGCCATAGCTAGTACTCTGTACTTATAAATTATAAACCCCCTAAACATGGGGGCAGATCTCAAACACTTCACCTTAAGCGTACTCTTGTTGCTCTCTCTCTCTCTCCCCCACACACTACTACTTTGTACTCTCTCATTAATAGAGTTCTCCCGCCACCATTGCCACCTTCAATGACTAGGTCACCCAGACTCAACATCTAATCTTTATGTCTTATTATTAATTGTTTTACACCACACACTTAACTGATTTGATCGTGCATAGTCAACTTTGTGCATTATCAGTTTGGTGTCGTCTATGGGAACAGATTTGATTCTCACCCTACAGTCTTACTACCTTCAATGGCAATCACAACCAAATCCATGAACTGTCAAGCGGAAGATGACCCTCCATGTCACGACGAGGTCCTGCCACCATCGGCAAACCCAGTGTCTGAATCCTAACAACTGTTGAAGACCATGCAACAGCTGGTTAACCAAAATCAGCAAATCCTCATGCTAATGCTTTTTGGGAGTATTTAGGGAGTCGCCTCCCCACATCAAGCCCCTCATCTAGGGCACCAAGGCACCCCCTAGTGCCAAGGGTGACCTGCTACCCCGCTTTGCAAGCTTTATTCCCTCCCATGTTGGTGACCTTCCTTCCCAAGAGGACAAGGGAAAAAACCAGCATAGGGACCACAAAAACTACACGAATAATAACCCTACTCATGATATCCATAACCACTAGGATAAGAAAATCAAAGAGGTACAAAACCAACTCACTGACATTTACAATGCCATAAAGGTGCGAGAGCTTGAAATGGTCGACTACCTTGTAAGGCATATTGACACGCCCTTCGTGCCTGATGTGTCCAACTACTCTCTTCCCTCAAAATTCAAGATGCCAATTATGGAAGCTTTTGATGGGTCCAAAGATCTACTGGACCACCTTGACAGCTACAAATCTCTGATGCATTTGTAAAACATACTAGATGAAATCATGTGCAGGGTTTTTTCTATCACCCTCAAGGTATTTGCTCGTCAGTGGTTTTCCAAGCTTACCCTTGATTCTATTGACTCTTTTGTTGAACTAAGCAAGTCATTCATCTCACACTTCATTGGAGGACGCCAACACCAGAAGCCTACCACCCACTGGTTATGCATCAAGCAAGACTGGGACGAAAGCCTAAAGAGTTACCTCACTTGTTTTATTGAGGAAGTCCTTAAAATTGAAGAACCATATGGCAAAGTCATCATGGCAGACTTGACAGAAGGTCTATGCTTATCCAGTCTTATGTTTTCACTCTTGAAGCACCTGCCAAAAACACATGCTAAAATTACTATCAAAAGCTAAGAAATATATGAACGCTAAGGATGTCGCCAAAGTAAGGCAAGCTGAATCCTCATGTAGAGAGGAATACGAAAAGTAGACACGTGAAAATTCTACTTTTTCACTAATTTTGTGGTTGAAATTCAAATTTAGTGAAAATAAGCATTTTTTTGAGAAATTTGGGTTCTAAATCGTCGTGGCTAATTGGATTTTGGTAGATCTTGAAAAAATACCCAGATTCAAAAGAAAATTCGCCTCAAATAGACAACCGAATGCAAAGTTATGACCATTCAAAGTTTTTATCATTTCTTCATGATTTTTTAATACTTCATCCAGAGCCCAACGCCCAGCACCCAACCCTACAATGCCAGCGCCCCAATCCTCGGTACTTGTGCGCCCTTGCCTTGGCACCTACCTCCTCGCCGCCTAAGCACACCGCTCGCATCGCGTGGCCTACTCGTCCAGCAATGCCCTTGATGCCCGGTGCCACCCCTCTTGGCACATCAAGCGACCTCGTCTCCCACGCTCAACGCCCATACACCGCTGACTCTATCCTATCGGCGCCCCTAGCTACCCTCACTGTCCTCTCTTCGTCTCTTGGGAGAGAGCCTCCCAAGTTGCCAAAAACTTAGCCTCACTTTGCATTTATTCTCACGCAAGCAACCTCAGTCTCTAACTTAATGGCTCTCTTGTGAGTTACCAAAAGTTCAGTCTCACTTTGCCTCTGCTCTTATGCAAACAGGTTTTGTCCCTAGCTTAACGACTTTCACGAGTCATCAAAGCTCGCCCTCACTTTACCTTTATTCTCACGTAAACACCCTCAGTCCTTAGCTTAGCAGCTCTTTCGCAAGTCACCAAAAGCTCGACTTTACTTTGTCTTTACTCTCACGCAAGCAGCCTCAGTTCTCAGCTTAGCGGCTCTCTCACAAGCCGCCAAAAGCTTGACCTAACTATGTTTGCTCTCACATAAAGCTAGATTTCAAGAGGTGCTGCTATCTCATGAGTTAACCTCAACCGCTCATCAGCGCCTTGGTGCACCTGTCTCTCTTCCGCCAAAGCTCTCGACATCTCATCGAGTTTGAGCGTCCTTGAAAAAAGGCATGGACAAGTCGCGGCCACCTGTGAATATCCAAAACACAAAAATATCAGTATGAACAAAATATACAAAAGATAAGGTTGCACAAAAAAGAAGGGTACAATACCAAAGCCCTCCATCGTAGTATTGATGATATCTTTAGGATCCTAAGAGTTAACCTCTCTAATATCTGAGGGTGTCACAAACCTCCAAAATCATTCTTTGGCCAAATTCACGTCCTGCAGCATGGACATCGGCCTACTACTAAAAGTAGAAAATTATGCAAAACTCTGGTCTCAATGAAGTTTGCACATGAGTCTCAATCTCTAAAGTAGTCCTAGGACTAACCCTAGGATTAAAAGGGGTCACATGCTGAGAAGAAGCGGGGACACCATCGGACCCCACCTTCTGAGAAATAGTAGGGCCATCAGACCTTAGTTGGGAAGCACTAGGGGCATTAGATCTCGTCCTCTTAGGAGGAGGGGAAGTTGTCATCCTAGTGACATAGAGAACCTCCACCATTGATCTGTCAACTATGGGATCACCTGTGGAGTCTGAATGAAAGAGAGAATGGCACTACCCTAGTTCTAATCAGGAAAGATGGGTTTGAGAGACCCAACAAAGAATTTTGTTTGCTAGCACAGTGAGTCTCTAACAATGACGCTACCAAATAGAGAAATAAGCTTCAACATACAATGGAGTAAAAATATGAAGAAGACATCATGTGGAATAAGATATATTGGTTTACCCAATTGAAGGAGTTCACTTATGCCCTCAACCTCTATCATTACTAAGGCTTGGGGCAAATGACAAGCCCAGATCTAAACCAGCCCTAAGCCCAATCCATAAGTTAAGCCCAAATCATCAAAAGGTAGACCAAACTTAGCTCATGGTCTCAATTCAATCCAAAGCTCGAGAGTTTAGGAAAAGTCAACGCATGTGGGAGCAGCACTCATCAGAATAGTCACTATTCCTAGACAGTGTCTATCCCCAATTGTGGCTATCCTCCTCGATAAATTAGTGGCTTAACCTTAACGTCACTGTCACAGTTAGGGCTCTGTGCCTATAAATTGTAAATCCCTTACACATGAGGGCAGATCTCACACACTTCATCTTGAGCATACTCTCTTTCTCTCTCTCTCTCTCTCTCTCCCCCTCTCTCCCTTACTACTTTGTACTCTCTTATTGATAAAATTTTGTAGCCACCGTTACCACATTCAGTGGTTAGGTCATCTAGACCCAACTACTCAATTGTTGTCTCTTTTTGTTAATTGCTTTATTAATTACTTTATGCCACACACTCGACTGATTTGATCTTGCATAGTCAACTTTGTGCATTATCAGTCTTATATTGTGTCCTCAATGAATTATACTTTTATAAGTATAAAAATATGAGAAAGAATTTGAGAAGTCTCTTATTGGTACTATATGATTGATGTAGAACGTTTTTTAGGAATTATTTTATTTTTATTATTTTGTTTTTTATTTAGAATGAGAGTTTAATTAGGAATATTTAAAGTATTTCATTACCTAAACTATTTCAATTTTCAAATTTCATTAGACATGTGTTTTTTCTTTTGGTAATTATATTAGAATTAAAGATTTATTTTTGTTTCGGAACCTAAGGATTCTAGGTTTTTTTCTAAATTGTCCAATGTAATACAAGTTTTAAGAGTTAATAATTCAATAATACAATATTTTGAGAATTTTCTCTTCTTTTTCTCTATATAGATTAAGAGTGTTCTTGTTTTATACGCTTAAAGACAATGATATCTTCATATCCTTTCATTACTGCTGTGTCAATGTTACTTTGAATTACGGAATTTATGTTGTGACAGATATGTTGTTTATTCAAAAAGTGTATTTTAATTTTAGCCTACCAATAATATATAGATTTATTTAGTCATTGAATATAATTAAGGAGACTGAATATTTTGTACAAAATAGTAGGGGTGGTTTAATTCAGGATCCTAATCTTTGAGAAGTGGTTTGTGCATGGATATCTTCCACTACTCATTTCCAAACATGAGTACTTCATCCAAATGGGCCCTTAAAGCCAGTTTTATTTACCCAAGAAGCTTGGTAAATGATTGTTTTATAAGGTTAGGTAAAATTAAGGACAATATTGGAATTATGCAAGACAAAGAAGTGCTCAAATAACTTTTTCTTCTTTACACAGCCATCCGTTTCTGTTTGTGAGTAGTAATTCATCTGCCGCGTCTTTGACCAGAAAAGATTTGTCTGTATGAGAATACAGCCGCTGTGTGGCATGCTTTGTGTGGCCCGAATCGCACTTGCAAAGTAGTCTGGAAAACAGCTGATTTTTCCCACATAAAAAATTAAGGTTCTATATTGTATCAAGATTTACAATTTTTTAAAATTAAACTATATAATTTTTTAAAAAGACATGATAAATTAAAATCAATTGGTAAAATTTATTTTGTGAAATTACAATTATTTGAGATAATATATAATAAATCATTAGTAGATTAAAAAAAAAAAATGAGGGTTTCGCTAAATTCACCTGCAGTGGACAGTGGGCCCTAATTCCTACTTCCATTTTAACTGAGCGATACAGAAACCCTAGCCGGAACTTATTAATTTCTTGACGACTTCAGTTATTTTAGTTCCGTTCCATCGTTGGACGGTGAAATGTACGGGTCCGAGACTGTCACCGACTTAGAGCGCACAGCTTTTAGGAAAGCAGAGAAGAAATACAAGCTCTATTACGATCAAACTAAAAAGTATCATATCCATTTCACTTTTTTTTTTATCCTTTCGTATGTTCATCGCGATTGTTACAATCTCTGATGTTGATTTCATAATATTTAGGAAAAAGCAACCAAGACCTGTAGATTTGTCGGAAGTTATTGACTTCAAGTCCATTCTGGAGTCCCATAATCGAAAAGATGAACTTCCTCCTCAAGTTTCCGCACTTGAATCTGATTTTGAACAGCCTGTTTTTTGCTTGAAAAAACGCCCTGGTATGTATAACAATGTCTCCTTCTCGTGTTTTTGAGATTTGAATTTATAATAAATATCTAACTGATTCGTATCTATGTATTTTTGCCACTAAAATTACTTTGAAATTGGTGGACTCACAGTGGTTTTAATAGCATCCACATTATCTGTTTTATAGTAAAAGAAATCAAATAAAAATCAAAATTTTCTATGCATTTGCTAGAGTATCGAGACCTTTTTAAATAACTTACAATTACCCATTCCTAAAGGCACTATGTAACTTGTAAAAAAATTGTAAGTATTTTGCCATGCACAAAGGTAATATATGACAAATTTTTACAATCGTCAATCAATACGAGTCCACCAATCCTTTTGAAAATTTTTGACAAAATTTCTTTTAAAAACAGGACCTTTGGATAATATCAAGCTTCATACACCACATGTACAACCAAATCTTTATTTAAAGAAACACAACTTAAATACAATCACGCTGCAGTCATGCCCGTAAATCAATCACGCTATAGTCATGCGTGACATGATTTGAGTTAATGTACATAAAAGGATAAAAATAAAATAAAGCATACAATGCATATCTGAGGGAACCACTCAAACAGCCTAAGCTACTAACAAAAACAATTACAAAACATGAGAATGTGCTATTGCTTATATATTATTAGTTATATCAATTGGTGAATCAAAAGTAATGGATCTATTACAAAATTTTTCACTTGCTCTTTTTGGCCCATGGAGCAATCAAACAATTTCCTTCCCATCAGTAGTGTTGGATTTGGATGTCTCTATAATATGGATCCAAATTCGAGAACTCCTTTAGCATCCAGAATGGACTCAAAGAGTAGTAACAACAACATCTCTTCTCTATCATATCAGGGAGATAGAGAGGTGTGTGCGTGTGTTTTGTTAGGGGGGGGGTGCGTTAGAGAGAAAGAGGGAGATAGAGAGGGGTGCAAATAGAGATGATAGAGATAGTGGAAGATGGGGCAGGTCATCTGATGGGGGGAGAGAGAGAGAGAGAGAGAAGTTGGGGAGTGAGAAAAGAGAGACGTGTATGAGAGGGGGAAAGAGATAGAGAGAGAGAAATGTATGTGAGGGGTGTGAGAAAAAGAGAGAGAACTAAGAATAGAATCGTGGACTATGGATTGGGCGGGAGATTATATTTGAAGAGTTTATTTTATCCGTTGGAAGGCATATCGTTTTTTAAAAATAGTATATCATATCGTGTATCGTAAGATACGCGCAATTTTAAATAATTAATAAAATATATATACTTTTATAAAAAAGTCATAAACTCATAATAACATAGCATTTCGTTAATATTTTATCAACTATTCAAATTCCCAACATAGTTCACTAATATCAAAATACAAAAAAAAAAAGGAAGAATCAAGTTTTGTTTGGGTCTACAAATGCAGTCGAACTCTTCGATAGGGATAAACCAAAAAATGAAGAAGGAAAAAAAAGCCTAGGTCTTGGCTAAGGAAAAGGCCTAAACCTTCATTTGAACTGATTGCAAATCTAGAGGATCAAGACTTCTTTGCGATGAAGAACAGTAGACTAGAGAAGAATATTTCTTTGCGAAATTCCATTGCGATGAAGAAGATTGAGATTATTCTTCTTTGTTGTCTCGGTGGATAGCATTTGGTCTTCGTCGATTAGAAAAGTAGGCCACCTTTATTTTTTTTTTAAATCCTAGCCATTGAAACAATGTTGTTTCACTAGTTAGGGTTCAAAAAATAAGATCCCGGGTAAAATGACATCGTTTCAGCCCCAAAAAACCCAAAAAAAATAAATAAAAAAAAGTAAAAAAAAGTTATTCGTGTATCGTACGTATTGTATCGTGTATTGTTCGATATGGTGCAAAAACTATACGGAGACACAATTCGTATTGTTTTTCTTGTGTATCGTGTCGTACGATACGTATAACTATGACTTTGAATATTTATCAATTAATTTGAGATGTTCGAACGAAATTATAAGTTGGGGGATTCAAAATCCTTTGTACTTTATTATATAGATTTCACTTTAGATAAATAATCATACACCTACTTAAAGTTATTAAAATAAAGTAAATTAACTCCTAAGATGCACCTAACAACTAATTTTGAATAGTTTTTTTTTTTTTGGTCTGAGTAACGGCTCCTGACCATGATTTATCAGATGATTACCTTTGCAGAGCTTCTGTTATGTTATCCTTTTTATTGTGTGTTCTAGTGCAGGTTTTTATTTTATTCCTGGGGCATTGAGCATTGAAGAACAATGTCAATGGCTTAGGGAGAGCTTAAAAAGCTTCCCACAGCCTCCCAATAGGACAAATCATAATGCTATTTATGGGCCAATACAAGACTTATTCGTTGCTGCCAAAGAAGGAAAAGTTTTAGTTGAGGAAGAGAGTTCATCAAGAAATTTGGATTCCAATACTAATTATATTCTCGGCAACATAAATATTCCTAGGTGGAAATTTGTTGAGGAGCGTGGTGCATCAACGGGAGGAGATACACGCAAATCAGAGTTGGCTTCTATTTTGCTGCGGAAGTTGCGGTGGTCGACCCTTGGCCTGCAATTTGATTGGTCCAAGGTCAATCATCTTATTTAAATTGAGTAATTTGGCCTTTATTCTATTTAAGTATTGTCTTATTATGTATTTCTGAATTATGAGCAAAGTATTTGAAGGATGTGACATTTCACATTGTATTGGCAAAGCAAGCATCTAGAGTATGTTGGACTAATGCCCATCAAATTGTCAGAATTGATTGAACATGCATACTTCTGGGAACCATGGATGCGGTTGGTTGTGTATGATAACTAGACTATTCGGATTCTAGCCTACTTGTTATTTGAATCCATTTGCCCCTTCAAATTGCTGACTTGCAGTGAGGATTTACCTTCCGTGTGACGTATGTTGAACTTGATTTGGTTTTTACAAATTGCTTTAGCCTTGACTGAATATGTTGTTGACTTCGTATTCAAAGAATAATTTTAATAAGTTCTTTTTATGCCTAATTTGTACCTGATTGGAATTAAGCTTTGTTGAATTGGGTTACTTTTCTTTGCTTCATAGTGTTCATATTACGAGTAGCTTTGTATGTCTGGTATACTAAATTACATAGTTTATTTTTTAGCAACTTAACCTTTTTCCCTGTCTCATCATCATGTATGTCTGGTATACTAAATTACATAGTTTATTTTCTAGCAACTTAACCTTTTTCCCTGTCTCATCATCACTTATGAAACAGAAATGTTTGACCTATTATGGAGAAAAAGACCAACTGTGTTTTGTTTCTTGTACAACTACCATGGAAAAATGTATTTTATAATACCGCTACACTGCTTTTTATTATAATTATAATTTCTGAAATAGTTTTCACTTGTCTGTGCAGCGGAGCTATGATGTTTCTCTCCCACACAATAAGATCCCTGATGCACTTTCTCAACTGGCAAAAAAGATGGCAGCACCTGCAATGCCACTGGGCGAAGAATTCTGGCCCGAAGCTGCAATAGTTAATTACTTTGGATTAGGTAATCCTTAGGGATTAGTAGCCTCCATGACCTTGATGCTACTTTTGAACATCCAATTAATATTGCTAACAATTTTTATGGCATAGGACTTGGGTTCTATTAATTTTGGAAAAAAGAGTTTGGATGATATCATTGAGACGTAAAGTCCTGATAAAAGAAACGTCGTGTTTGTAAATTTATTCAGAGGATTGAAGCCATCAAGTAATTGTTGTAAACAATAACTCTATTCACTTTATTATTTTCAGGGGATATGCTTGGTGGCCACCTTGATGACATGGAAGCAGATTGGAGTAAACCTATAGTAAGCATGAGGTCTCATGCCATTTCTTTATTTTCTCAATTCTTTTCTACCATAGAATTTAGAGCTGACTTGAGGCATGATGAAACATTTTCTTCCCCCTCAGTTTGGGCTGCAAAGCTATTTTCCTTCTCGGAGGGAAGTCGAGAGAGGATCCACCAACAGCAATGTTCCTTCGAAGTGGTGATGTTGTACTTATGGCAGGAGAAGCAAGGGAGTGCTTTCATGGTCAGTATAATCTAGTTCTCTTTCTATGTCTGAGGCATTTGAAAATTAATTCTGCCCACAAAAGTCTCTAAACATATATGGAATATGTATGCCTACGGTTTTATCATCAATTAGATTGTTTAGCATTATTGGGGAGATGGTATTCCAGTCTACAACTGACAGTATTACTCTGATGCAAGGATCAAGAGACTTGTTGCTTTTGTTTTCAGACCTAAAAAATGTTTAAATTGAAATATGAAGAAACAACACTGTTACTGTTTTTATTGTATGCAAATCCTAACTTCTTAATGAAATGTTGTCAATTTGCCATAAAGAAATTTACAGTTCTCAGGGCTCACTTGACTTATTGTTCATAAAAAAAGGAAAGCATAGGAAAGAAAATAAATAAACAAGGAAAGAACTTAGCTAATTCTGAATATACGAGGGATACCTTTACAGGCAGCTGCACATGATGGCATAAATATTATGTCAAATGCAGCTTGATTGCCGTTTTATTGATCGATTTTGCAATTTTAGATTGCCTTATTACTGTTTATATTATGAATTGCTGAACAACACATCCTTATGTCCTCCAAAATTTAGCTTTTCAGAAGTTTTATTTGGTTGTTTAGGGTATCTCCGTATAAAGTGTGAATTGTGGACATGAGTTGCTGAGAAATTGGGTTTTCGTTTATTGCTTTAATGTCTGCAGTAAATTTGAAATAGAATGCCCAAAATTGTACAAGGCCAGACATCATCTGTGTCATTCCAGTCCACCTGAATGGAACTGAAACATTTTTGAGGATGAGTTATGGTCGGGTGGGTTGAAGCTCAGTAACCTCTAGATTTGAAAGGAACTGACAGAACCTAGGTGAGTGTTAGAGAAACATTTGTCTAGTCTTGACTCTTGTTGGTCTTCAAGCTCACATGAACTTGGACTCACCTGCAATGCATCAGTGATTGCAAGAGTAATCTGGTCTGCTTCCTTCTGGTTTTACCTTGCTTTCTGCATGTGCACTTTCAGGTGTAGATGGTTGGAAGTTAGAGCTGTTCTACGTTATCTCAACGAACATTGTAAATTTTTTATGTAAAGCTTTCCATCATATATCGTTCATGCTAACGTCTTACTCTTGAGATGCATATACTAATGGAAGTTGAGGGTTGAGGAATAACTTTCCATTTTGACAAACTAGTTGTTGAACACGTACGTTGCACGTGGACAATTTTAATCTATAATCTTGAATTTTATTTGTCATAACTAAAGTACAAAAAAGACACAAACTGAATTATTTGGCTAATACTCTCCAATGTTGATTTTTTGTACAATACATAAGACAGAACTTAATAGACTTGGTGGGGCAACAAAACGCAAAAGTTTGAGAGGAAGACAAGATAAAAGAAAAGACTAGTCAAGTTGATCAAATAACTCGGACTATACATAAAACCCACACTTAACAACTATGAACCACTGTAATAAGATCCAATGACCCAACCGTGATACCAAGAAGAGGAGCAACCCAGAAAGTTTGCATGGAGCACACTTGAGTCTTCTCTATTTGTGTTTATTACTGATGTAAGTTTTATTTAGCCTATATCTAAATTATTAAGCTCATAGAATAAATTTATATTTTCACAAATAATTATTTCTTAACAAGAACTATAAATTCAAAATTAGGTGCCTAGCTTCTTATACATGGAGTTAGGAAAGGAAACTTGAAAAAAGAGAACAATGGTGTCCATCCTGAAATAATGATTTTTTGTCTTCAATTGAATACAAGGCACATAAGAACATTAAAAACATAAAATAAAAGTATTTCTAATAGTTGTACTGGAATTCGACCACTTTTATGTATACACTACACATAATCCTATAGATAAAACATACAAAAACTACCCAACAAAACAAGACAAGCGTATTAAAGCTTCTAAAAAGCACAAACTGCAGTAGAAACACATTCATTAAACAAAACAAAACAACATCAATACACAAACATATATAACATAAAACATCAATTCCCATAATCCCGAAAAAAGAATATCTTGCTATGATACTATCTGGCTAACGATTTAGTAGTTGATTGAAGAAATTGAAACTTTTTTTTAGAGGACAAGGATCTAAATTATGAACATGTATATCTCATCAGAAGCACAGAACAATCCTGGAACATTAACTTTAATTGGAAAACATGGTAGAATAATACCTAGGCGGGTTTGTTCTCATGATAAGCTTTACAGACTCATCATCCATCTCCAACCTCAAAGTTTCTAAAATAGCTAGTATATAGAAAGGCATTGGAGGCTTGGAGCAGATCATCTTATTGTCAATTCAAAAGCTCTTTTGCTTCTTAACCCTTGATCCTTCGAACCTTGGAATGCTGCTTGGCACACGAAAAGGTCGTTGCTTAAAGCTCGTTATCCTTCACTCCTCGAACTCTGGAAGGTTGGCTCATTAAAGCCATTTAAATGAAACACATTACAGTTTCTTGGCACATGGAAGGGTTTCCGCTTAAAGTATTATTCCAGAATTTTTAGCATTTTAAACTTATAAATGTCCGTAGAGTTAGATCAAGGGTAAAAATGTCCTTACAGTGTCAGTGAAGAATAAAATATCAATGATAAATTTGTAATTACGTTCCTAATTGAATGAGGCTCATCGGTTAAAAATCTGAACAGGGCTAATACAAATGTCTTTTTTGAGTCTATGAAGGGTAATAAAGAAAAGTAAATGTTTTTCCTGTCAAGCCACTTTTAGGAGTAGTATAGGTAGATATAGATAGATAGATACTGTAACCACAATTTTTTTCCCTGTTGTTGGCATGTTGGTTTGTCCTAAAATTCCAAAATGCAAATGTGTATCTCTATTGTTGTTCTGGTCAACATTCATAGTTAATTATGTGGAAATCTGATTGATTAGCTAACTGTACCAACTTTCTCCTTGTGCAGGTGTGCCCCGGATCTTTACTGATGAAGAGAATGCTGAAATAACCCCTCTTGAATTGCGGTTCTCAGATGCAGATGGTCTTTATTATCTTGAATACATTAAATCTTCGAGAGTTAACATCAATATCAGACAAGTTTTCTAAGTTCATTCCTTTTCAGCGGAATTAAGACATTTGAATTCATATTCAATCCAAAAGGGGAAAAATATGAAAGTATGTTTTTGATTTAGAGTTCATCCTAGTATTCTTCAGATTTGCTTGGTCTTCATCTCTATTTTCAAGTTCAATTCCTGGTCTGTTAGGGGTTGAAGTGAAAGAGAAAGGCAAAGAGGCAAGGCGTGGCACCACTGGCTGTAGGGAACAATAAGCCTTCTGTGATGTGGCAGCTTATTATGATGCAACTGATTGGTGGTGGTTGGTGGAGTGCTGCTCAAAGTGCAGTTTGCATTGCCATTGCAGTGGAGGAAAGCAAGAAACTTGCAAGGATTTGATCATCACTAAGCTGCACAAAGATTTCGAGCTCTTGACTTGAAAAACCACTTGAATTGGTTCGAGTCTGCACCGTATCGGGTGAACTAACCAATGCCAATTGTATAAAGTGGTTCTATTAAGATCCGTGTATAGACTTGTGAATTGCGAATTAATTTCAGCTCTGTTGACAAAGGCCCAAAAGTTTAGCACAAGAATCTGAGAGTATATCCAACTATTTATGAAGTTGACGCCTTTTAATGAGGTAAACTTATTCCTTAAAGCTCAATTTTTGAATTATACAAGTCATTGTATGCTGCTCAAGTAAAATTAGGGGTATCAAAATACGACAGTCTGTTAATACGATACAAATACAACATATAAATTAGAGGGTTTGAGTCTTTTTTTTAATCTCTCGTTTTATAAATGAACAGACTTAATACGACACGATTAATAAACGAATTATGTATGAATGAAGTCAATGAAAATAAATACACAATACAATTCGTTTATAAATTACTTATATGAGATTCATATGCGATACATATTTGATATGATATAATTTGATAAACATAAATTAATAAATAAGTTGACTATGAGTAAATTAATTTTTGATCCAAACTCGTAAATTCGATATGAATTGTCTAATGATTGGCCTAAAAAACACTCAAAGTGGGGTAAGCGTCTTGGCCCAAAGGCTCCATTGGGCCCAGTCTATACAGTGTTCATTTGACTGAAGGTGGCTAACGCGGCTGTGCAAAACAGGCAACAATTAGTTGCCTCCAGGTCATATCACGGCAATCCAACCCGTTAAAATCTTCCCAAGTTTGAATCCGGTTGTTTGTCTGTCGGATCAAATACTTCACGTCGGCTCATTTCCAGCCGTCAGATCAAATCATCATTTTCACGACAGATACAAACAATCTCCAGCATCGAAAATGGTAGTAGTACAAGCAAAAATATAATCCAAACAAAAGGAAGAGAAAACCAACAAGCAAAGCCAGAGCGAGCGAGCGAACATACACACCAAACAAAATTACAGTACTGGCACAGAAACATCTGGACTACACTTCAACTTTCGAAACCCCAAATCCGACCAAGTGTGATTACACGCACCTACGTGTACATCCCCAAAACCACTTCATTTTCTCTCTCATCAACTGCTTATTATTTCATTGGTGTGAAGTCTTGCAAGTTCTGTGAATATGGGTGCGATGGTATTGACACAGCTTGCGACGGGTCTGAGCCTGTTGGCCGGCGCGGTTCTGGTCAAGTCGGTGATGGACCAAAAACCCATGGCGGGTCCGGGTCAGTTCCCCAGATGCTCCACTTGTAACGGCACTGGCCGTGTCAATTGCCTCTGTTCTCGCTGGTCCGACGGGGATGTTGGATGTCGGACTTGTTCCGGGTCGGGTCGCATGGCCTGTAGCAGCTGTGGAGGTAATGGGACCGGCCGGCCCCTCCCGATTCAGCTTTCCGTTCGTTCTCCGAACCGTCCCTCGTAACGGGTTTGTGCTTAAGAAGCTTATGCTTTCAATTGTAACTATTACAATTTCATGTACACTCTTTATGTGATATTGATGATAATATTGAAGAGAGAGAAATGGGAGGTTATTAGATTGTAATTACCATGGTAATTTGGAAAATTAAAGAATGAGATGGTTCTATAGCTTACCTATTGCTTATAATCTTTTTCTTTGACGGGATTCTCTACATTTTAACATGTTTATGGTTTGGCCATATGTCATGAATTCTGTGCTGTTGGGATAAAGATGGTATTAATTATTATTGAATCTTTTTTTAACTTTTGCAGAGAAGGGGCGGTAAGTTTCGGATCTGCGTCCTAATGGTCCAACAGTAGACTGCGGTGGCCATTACGCCAACCGCTGATCCTCAATTATTATTGAATCTGCTTGCTGAGTTTATGCATAAAATTTACAGTTGTGAATTCATCATTCTTAGTAGTCTGAAAAGCTATCAAAGTGAATAAAAATGTAGTAAGAAACTTTTGAAACAAGCTGGACATGAAAATAAGTTAAAGAACAAATACGCTGAAGTTCATTGAGGTATGTTTAATGCTATATTGATGGCGTCCTCAATTCTCCATCCAGATGGCTCAGTTAACCTGTATGGCATGCGCATTTTCATTCATATGTACAGAAAAGGGGCATATGATTGTAGTGCCAGTTACCATAAAGGTAGGCTAGGCAAGTGATTTTTAGTAGCGGAGTAACCACACTATTCTACTCGATAATAGTGGGCGAGAGCTAAATTATGAGTGGCAATTGCATCAAAATGCAAAAGTCTTGAGCGTGAAATTTCAGTGATATGCTCTCTGCATAGCTCTCCATCAATTAGTTCAGACAACTAGAAGATTGCTCGTTGATTCATTGGAGCCCATTTAACTTTTGAAGACGAGGATCATGTTTTGGACCTTATTTTATAGTTCATGCTACAATAAAAACTCGTAGAAGATATATGATTCCACCAAAATCTAATTAGTGTTTGTTTTATATCACTGGGTCATAGTGTCAGGAATATGAGAAGGATATTATTGATTTAGGTTTTCTACCCCTAGTAAACTTTGCTTTTGAACTACATTTGAATATGATATTGTTCCTCATGATTTGGTGCAAATAAGATAGGTACAATGTTGAAGTTCTTATCTTTAGTTGGTTTGACCTAGAAATCTTGCTATGGGTTTGTATGCTTTGCTTTCCTGGCCAAGTGAATCCAATTGAAGCTTAATTACTTCATAATACATTGATTTTTCCTAGATATCATTGGCTTTGAGTGAATCCAGAATCTTTAAAATTTTAACGTTATGAAGTCGATCACTAGATTATATACCTGGTTACTTGGCAACTGAACAACTGATCAAGTGATCTTGGTTATCTAATTACTTTAAGCCTCAAGGGAAATAAGAAAATGAATAATGAAAAATTATTCTCTCTTCTTCTAAGCCAAATCTATTAGAAAACTTCCAATTTTTATAAATCACCCAAAAGTGGTTGCTCTTGTAGAGTGGCATCCTTTGATGGAGCTGACAAGATTTTACCTTGACCATGTAGGAGAAATATATGATGCATAATTCATGATGTTAGAGTATGATGCTTAATCAAAGACTCCAAGCTTCATAGTTGGAGTTTTGTTCAATGTTGGACCATTTTTGGGGGATTAGAATAGAATGCTTTGTCTAATTTGTTATGAAAAGCTGGCATGATGAAGTTGTGGGATGAGAGGGGAAAAGGAAAAAACTCGACATGGTGTTGCTGTCAAAATAGCTTAGATGGTGTGCCAATATGTGTTGGTAACCTTAGTGTTTTCTTTCATTTGTCAACATTTTCCTGGTAGTGGAAAATATTCTAGGATGGTGTTTTTAGGTTATCCTTCTAGTGCTTAACAAAATACCCCTTGATAACTGGCAACTCTAGCCAATTGTCAGACTTGGTGCCACATCACTGTTGTAAGTGGAGATATTAAATCTTTGAATTGTGTGATATAATTTCCTTTTATTGGCTTGATTGGAAGTTCAAATATTGAATTTCATCAGCTTGTACTTGATTTAATGTCAGCACAAATGATCTTTCCAATTTATCAAGTATTTTAAAATTAGGAATGAAAAAGAGATCAAGACACAAGGAATTAACGTGGTTTGGTCTAAGACCTACGTTCATGACATAAAAAACCCACACAGGGCTACATCTCTATTATTCTTGATAAAATATACACAAGATACACCCATATATATAGGGTGGCAAACACAATCATATCCCTTTACCTTAGGGATTGACATAAATCAAAAATCAAATTATGCCACTATTGGGATATTTCTATCTTCAACAAAGTCAATTCTGCTGCAAAGTTTTCTGGATTCGTTTGTTACTTGTATAGGTGTGGTGGCCCTGAAGTTTGCATTTGAATTGGCCAATTCTATTGGAATGTAACTTGCGCTTTTATGCGCAGTTCAGTCTTGTGCACTCATTAACCTGTAATACATTTCATGATAAGACAAGTTGTTTGCGTCCATTTATGATTGAAGTGCACAGGAAATTGATTTAAATTAGCAAGTTTTAATATTTTATGCATTGTTGATAGCTTTGACCTTTCCAAAATGAATTCCATGGTTTTCCATCCTTTCCACGAGGTAAAAGTTAAACGCATCATGAATGCAAGGTCCTGTTCATATATATAGTTTGTCATCTGTCTTAGAAGATCACAACTCATGATGTAAGATGCCCCAAGTGTTTCTTGTTGATGGTTAAGATGTTTGAGAATTATGTTCACGGTTAAAAAACCAAAAAAAAAAAAAAATGGAAAAGGAGTTCTTGGCTTATTATTCATTGCTCATGATTTTAACCTCGTCATAATTAAAAAGTGATAGGGATCGTGTTGGAATTGGATAGATGTTATAGATTAATTTTGAGAGTTATTTGGATATTTTTAGTATTTATCTTTTAAGGAATTTTTTTTAACTTTTGAAGGTTTATTTATTATTATTTATTTGTTTTAGGGCTTTGGGAATGTATGTAAGAGTTTTATTTAGACTTTACTTATTGAATATTATTAAGGCCTGTTTGCCTAGATCTCCTTGTTCCCTTCCTCTCTTCTATTTCTCATCCCTTTAATTCTATTCTTCACTTTTCATCTCCTTTTATTCTTCTATTTTCATCCCTATTATCTTTTTCTTAATCTACATTAAGAATCAAGCTAATACGATCTACATCAATTGATATTAGAGCTCAACTTCGATTCGTGCAAATCATATAATCATTGTTCATCGCAACCAACATCATCATTGTCCAATCATATTAAACCCAACTCCCCCCCAAAAAAATATTTTTGAACCAGTATTGTCGCGAAGAAGACGATCAAGTCAAGTCACTTCTTCGTCATTGATCTTTATAGATCGACTCTGTCATTGTGCTTTTATCGCCACAAATGTGTTACCTCCATATGTGATAGGTAGGGTTTTGTTTGGGAACAACAGCTTCAACGAGAGGTGGAGAAGAAGACCTACTGCCAGAAATTCTAAAATTGTAGAAACATCTCTAGTAAAACCAGAAAATTGCAGAATCACCCTATAAAATTTTAGAAATTTTAGAATCACCCTCAGAAGTTTTAGAAATCACATAAATATTATCCAGAAGTTTCAGAATTATAGAAACATCCCCAAAAGATCCAAAATATTATAGAATCACCCAAAAGTTTCAGAAATTGTCGAATCATCCCCAAAAAATTTTAAAATTTTCTCTTAATTATGGTATGCGTATCCCATAGAAATTTGTAACTAATATTTTTATTCATTGAAAAATTAGAGAAATTGCAAAGGGTCCAAAACTCATTTTCTTCTATTTAAGTTTTCTCACTTCTTGTAATTGTCAATTGCGTTCTTGAACTCGTTCTTATGTTATTCTCATCTTTCAAAAGTCAATTATGAGTTTATATGATTCTTATGATGCCTATTCATATACTTATCTAACATCAAGAATGTCTCGAGTTCATAGTTCTCCACAACGTCATAACTGTACCTATTCCACTCCTAGAGTTTCTCGGGGTCATCATAAAGTCCATAGTAAGTGTGAGTTTTATTGTGAAGATTATCTAGAATACTACTCTGGGATACTTAGGTCACATAACAGTTACCAACGTCATGCTTCCCAAAGTAATCATCAAGGTCAATCTGGATCTATCTTCTATGTCATTAGTGATCATTCAAAAGCCCAAACTACCCTAGAGAAAAAGGTTGAGATCTTTGACATTGGAGTTGCCAAAAATAAACATTCACTCAGTCAATTACATGAAGAGTGTAGAGGGATGAAAAATCAATTATCTGAATTAACAACTCAACTTTTTCACTTGACTAAACTTCTTGCAAGTTAGCAAATGGAAGAAAATAAAGACAAGTCTTTAGTTTTACCTAATGTCGGACACCCGCATAATGATAGCCATGTTTCTGTTTTGTTCAACCCTTATGCTTTCCATCCTTCAAAACATACTTTCCATTGTTTGACCGTTGATACTAGTGATGAGATTATTTTTGATCCTATCATGTTTCCTACCTCATCGGAGTCAAAAGTTGAATCATCACTAATCATTGAACTTGAGGAAAAATTCATTCAGTTGGTTCTTATGCAAGATGTTAAACATATTGAGCTATCTATTTTAGAATCTGTTGGCGATTATTCTATGTCTACTATTCCGAATCATGATGACATTGTTGTGGATTCTTCTTTATATGAGATTGTCAACTTTGTTTCGAATTATGCCTCACTTGAGAGTGTTGATTTTGTTTCTGGATTCTGTCCCACTTGATAGTATTAATTTTGTTTTTTTGTCTACTGTCAAGTATTTAGTTGAGTTTGTACTTTCTTATTTTCAGCACCAGTGCGTTATTGTTACTCCTTTATCAGCGATATCTTGTCACATTGAATATTTTTTGTTAAAACCTAATGAGAATTGTTTTGCTATTCTTGAATTTGGATCTAATGCTTATTTGTTTAATTTTTCATTGAATGTTAGTATTAGTCCGAATTTTTATTTGGAGGACATACTACTTAATCGAGGCACTCCAGAGCATCTTATTTTATTGGCAGGTGTTTCGTTGCAGGACCAGATTTTTAGTGTTTTAGATGGATATTGTCAAGAGTATCCTACTCAATGGACAACTATAGATGCTTCTTTCAGTATAGAGGAGTTCTACCATCTTGATTATGCACTCTTAGAATATTTTGGCTTTGATGACTCTCCGGAGGAGAGTTTTTCTTAACCAAAGGAGAATGATAAGGATCGCGTTGGAATTGGATAAATGTTATAGATTAATTATGGGAGTTATTTGGATATTTTTAGTATATATTTTTTAAATAATTTTTTTTAACTTTTGAAGGTTTATTTGTTATTATTTATTTGTTTTAGGGCTTTGGTTTTCCTATATAAAAGGGATGCATATTAGGGTTTTATTTAGACTTGACTTATTGAATATTATTAAGGCCTGTTTGACTAGATATCCTTGTTCCCTTCCTCTCTGTCTTCTATTTCTCATCCCCTTAATTCTATTCTTCACTTCTCATCTCTTTTTATTCTTCTATTCTCATCCCTATTATCTTTTCCTTAATCTATATTAAGAATCAAGCTAATACAATGTACATCAGGAAGTCTTAACTGTGTTTTATGTCATATTACATCATCAAAGTTTGCACCTTTTAGCGGCAAAGGTGAAAAGGGAATCTAAAATCATGGAAGGCATGGAAGGTTGGCATAACTTGATCAGATTCTTTTATTGCTCTGCTTGATGACTTCTATTTACTGGTCACCATAAATAGATGCCTTTATCATGCTGCGGCTAACTCACTTTCCTGGTTACCTGAATTACTTCCAATTCTCAGGCAGATTTACATTTGACGGCCAATCCTAGTCTTCGTATGATTCCATTCAACGCGTCAAAAAACATGCCCCAACTGTGTCTTTTCTTTGGCGCTTTGCAAGAGATGGCTGCTGTACTACTTCACAAACTTTTGAATTCAACTCTGATAGAATCTCTCTTACATGCATATTACATATTCATGACCTGAATGCAGAGAGTCTGGAATTCAACTTTTGTACAATCTTGCGGCTTTTTCATGCATGTTTATCTGTTTTATCTATTTGCTACTTAGACGTAATACATGTTGGTCTAGAAGCACTCCAAATAACATGGTCGCTTGGCTGGAAGAATTGCCCCAAGACCACATCCTAACCTTCTGTAGTAGTTGACTTTTGATGTAGTGTAATTAGATGAATTTGCTGTCATATTTTTATTAGAGTTCCATTACACCGAAATGTCTCGTAATGGCCAACAAGGTTATTGGTCCAAGATTTTCCTTTAGTTTTATACTGCCCCTAACCTACCACTTCCTAGTGTTGAGTGCTTCTATGGAGCATTGAAGCGAAAAAGATTGTGTAGGCTAATTGGGCCTGACACAATACTCATGATGTCTCATAACCTTGAATTTAAAACTTCGCCAGTCTAAGATTTTCCTTTAACATATGCATGATTGCATCTATGGAGGTTTCATTAGGACCTGAGTTTATGCTCTGACATTTCAAGTTCAAGGCGGTATTTGTACACTGCACCAACTTTATGCAATAGATATAAACAAGAGGGGAAACAAGTTGTAATCATGCAAACATCACAATGGAGATATATGTCAAATTCATTTTCACATTGTTCACTTATATCTCTCCTGCACATTAATCCCTATTTAGCAGTTTCCCTTGCCTCTATCACTTGGGGCTGAAAGCCTGCAAAGACAATATGGAAAATCACAAAAAACTATGATCAGATCTGCTTGCATTTATATGTCAAAGTCAATTTGAACTTTGTGAATTCATACATCTTGGTATTAATGCACGGTCATGAGATCTGCATGTACTCATTCAGAATTCATTTGTCGAAACCATTATTCTTATTTTCTAGTGAAATTGTTAGAATCAGAGTGTTTATTGCATGTGAAATATATATTCATTTATGATTCTCGTGTGTATTTGTGTATGTATTTGCATGTTCAGAAATCAATGAAAAGGTATTGAAATATGCACTAGATATGGCCGTAGATTAAATTCCTAGGGTTTCTACTTACAGCGAAAACAGTGGCATGACCAGGATCAGCAAGGTGAGCAAAGAGGTTGTCAATTGGTCCTGTTCCAGTGTAGATGTGTTGGAACCATGCACCCATCACAGCCAACATGGCTAACCTCCCATTTTTTATCTCCTTTGTTCTCAACTCCTTGACTTTTTCAGGAGAACCACTGCCCCAGCCAAGTGGATCGAACCATAAGCCACCAGGGTACCCAACATCCGTCCCTGTAAGCTTGTAATTGGGGAAGATGGGGTCAGTGTTGACGCACCCTGGCTTGATGATGTCTGCCCACCGTCTGCCCTCGGCCCAACCGATGAAAATCAGTTCGACAATGAAGAGTGTGGTTGTATCCGTAAAGTACTCCAGCTCTCCAGCAGTGTACCAGGATGGGGTGTTTAGAATGCCTAACTTTGTTAGGAATTCAGGGATGAAAATACCCGCAGCGCCTAACATTGCCCATCTGCAATGCACAATCTCTGATTGCACGTTCCATCTCAAGGTCTCCGGATCAGATCCTGTAGAAGACACAACATCGAGGTAATAATACAGTTGAGTGTTACTTTGAGGAACAACCGAGAAGCTAAATCCAGCTATGCTTTAGGGTTGGAACCCAAAAGTTTAGCTCTGACTTACCTAGACCAAGAGGATCAAAACCGAAGTCTCCAGGAAGACTGCATGGCAAGATTCAGATATTAATCTTTGGCAACAACACCTGCCCTCTTTTATACAATAAAAAAGATACAGAAATCAATTAACCTGCCATCAAGCCATGGAGGAGGAACACTGCCAGGGAACCAGATGGGCCTATCAGGGTCAGCTGCAACGGAAACAGTGACCGATCTTGAGCTAGCCGGTGCAGTATACTTGCTCACTCTAAGTTTTCTCCCACCAAGAAAAGAAGCCTTTGTTGCTCCCACAATTGATCCGTTTTTCTGGGTGCTGTTAATTCACTTACCTAGTTAGTATCTGTGTTTTCGATTACGTAAAACATGTATGTGTGGACATCTTTTCTAGAAAATCCCATGAAAAACTGACTATATGCTTCACAAACAGATGTAAGTGACTATGATATATGTACATACAGACATACATGCACAAGCTAGTGTGATGATAATTGCATTTCATGGTCGTCTTATGAACTTATTATTGATATGATTTATGTCAGGGGAGTTCTGAGAACTTGCCTTGGGGAAGAGAGAGAAACAGCTGCAATCGCTGAAGAAGCACAAGCAGAGGCCATGGGGGAAATTTTTCTTCAACTCAATGTTAGATTGGTGGGTATGAGGCTTGTGGACAGAAGAACCTGTTAATGTATCCAGGAGCTTATCTAAGAGGATAGGGCAGTGATGGTCTGATTGGCTGCTGGCATTGCCACGTGGCATTCAAAATCTAAGATGTAGCCCTCCACCTCCAGTTCTTTCAGCTTCACTGGAATAATCTCAAGCTGATGGTTCTCATTGCAAGCCCGTATAACTCCTATGGGGCCTCCCAAAAAGATCTTAGATTCAGTGGGAAATGTACATGATCATGTATTGTATTTGCAAACATTATGGCTGTATTGTCCAAATAAAAAAGGAATTAGGACAAATATTTGGTAGAATGGTTTGCAAGGCATTCTTCACACGTTGGTAGAAGTAATAGGTTAACTAGTGTGAAATTTTATTTTTAAATTTGATGTTATTCACTTCATTTAGATTACTAATTGGGGCATTCCATTGATAATGATAGAAAGAGCGATCCATGGAAGTCATTGAAATCAAGCTTGATAGGATAAGAACACTCTAGTTAGCGATAACGTAGGAGGAGGCGTTGGTGAGTGCAATTGTCATCTATCTTGATGGTTCGGCCAAGTTGTTGATAAACCAAAAGACGTAAAGAATGTAGAGCGTAGAATCTAATTAGATTTATTTTGAGAGTGAATTTTAGACATAATGTAATGTCAAAGGTTTGATTTGTACCTCATTCACCTCAACCTAAGTCCAACACTTGGTACGGAATAAATGATATATGTTTTCATAAAAACAAGAAGTTCCCAAAAACATTGTTAAAATAATAATTAGAGCAGTAATATTGCTACCGAACTGTTGACTCTTTCAAGCACAAGCACAAGCACAAGCACCTTGGTGGAATATGTGCCATATTATATGGCTAGCCCCTCCCATTGCAAATCGGATCCACCTTAGAGATGGACAGTGATGACACTATGCTTCCTAGAAAAATTGCGGTAAATGGCAAAATTGCTGGATCAGGTATACATAAATAGGTCCAGCTTCTAAGCCCATTTCGAATAGTTTGGGCCAGTCTCTGGTGCAGTCTGTTCATCTCTAATATATAAATGGACCTTTATAAACCTTGCTAAATCAGAATTAAAGAAGTTGATGTTGACTATAAGACACTGTTTAAACACGTCAAACCATTATACTCACTTCATCATGATTACAACCTAGTAATACTTTATCATTTGTCTTTTGATTTGCCAATGCTTCTAATATTATGGTACGACACCGTAAGAAATCCGTCCTTTTTTTTGTCTTTTTTGTTAAAAACGAAGTCTCGTGACCATCTATTACCGATCTTCATTCACTTATATATAACTCCATAATTTGATTAGCGAAAATTGAAAGTGAGTCATCTTAGATGGATTTATAATGATTTAAATTGTAGAAGAAAATTTATTTAGGCATAAGTATATTTTTAAACTTATATATAAGTATTTAACTCCACTTATTTTTTAAATATCAAAATTACCCATAACGATATTAATTTTGTCTAATTATGAAAAGTCGCATAGGTTAAAACATTGAGGTAGATATAAAAATCCTTAATTGAGTTAAATAAGAAAATCATTTATTAAATATTATGATAATTAACAAAAATTTTATATGGAGTTTATATATTCTGATAGTTATATATGATAGCTTAATGTGCGAATAAATCGTTGGCCTATTAAGTCAAAATTAGATCACAAAAATTCCTTAATAATTCAAAATTTTTTTAACATTAGTGTTATTATAGTGACACGAATGAGATTGTTTTTCTTAAAATACTCAATATCCAAAATAAAGAATTCCACCATTTTAAATAGTAACACAAACACAACTCTAATTTCGATTTTACTCTTCAAGTTTACTGTGGAGTCCATTGACAAAGTTACGGTTGATTCTTTCCGTTCAAAACATCTTAACAACTTTGAGATTCAAAAATAAAGTTAAGATATGTGATTTTATATGAAAGTTGATGTTCATTGTAGGTTTTAAAAAACTTATACATAATATATAATTCAAACTGTCCTTTTTTTTTTTTTAAAACATTCCTAATTTAAAATTTGAGATTCATTATTGTTAAATTAAAGTGTTATATAATTCGATTTTATTGTGCAAGACATTTGAAATACCTTGGTTGTGTGTCTGTGAAATAGATCATGATACTGTTTGATAACTGAAAAATGGATTTCAGAATTTCGATATCTTGATGTTCTTGATTGATGTTAATTGTCCTAACTCAACTGTCAACGGTGTGCTACTAATAGAAATTTTGTAAAATTTTAATTTGTGGATCGTATTTTTACTATAATTTTTCAAAAATTGATGTTATTGTGAAAACCTTATTATCTTGTATTTTATAAAAATCGATGTGTTACTGAGCACAAACCTTTGATGTTACTGTGAAAATTAAATATGTATATTACATAATATACGTCTAAAGGTTTACATAATTGAGGTTGAATTTGTGTTACTATTTGAAATGGTGAAATTCTTCATTTTTGGTATTAAGTATTTTAAGGAAAACAATCACATTCGTGTAGTTATAGTAACATTTGTGTCACTATAATAAAATTAGTGTTACTATAGTAACACTAATGTTAAAGAAATTTTGTGATATGATTTTAACTTAATAGATCAATGAATTATTCATATATTAACCTTTCATATATAACTATTATAATATATAACTTCCATATAAAACTTCCGTTAATTATTATAATATTTTATAAACAGTTTTATTATATAACTCAATTAAAGGTTGTCATATATACCTAAATGATCTAATTTATGTGAAGGAGGCGGTAAGTTAGACGTCAGTTATTGTTTTTTCAAAGGGTAGGGGTACAATAGTAAATTTTACAAAAAATAGACTTAAAACCAAATAAATTTCTCTTGTTAATCTTATCTCCAAATAAGTCTACATGGGAAAATCGACCTCCAAAATTTTCAATTTGATTCTACATAGGCCCATTCATCGGAGAAGCGGTAGCGAAAGACCAACCCAAGAATGAAAAGAGGCTTGCTAAAGCTGTGGCCCGAATGAAATAGGCTGGGTAGTTGGTGGGCTATGGTGAGGACCGGTCAATAGGTCCGGGTTCAAATATGGCCCTCCTTCTCCTGTCCTCCCCCAATTTGTTATAGATTTTTTTATTCCTTGAGAAAATTACATGATCCAATAGTTTTTTTCCCCTTTCCAAAATAAAGAACATTATGCAAAATGCCAACATGTCATAGATCGATTCCATACAAAACTAATTTTTAAAAAGAAGCATATAATAATTGCCACAATCTTATCATTGATGTCACGCTGTTGGGTAAAAATGCTATCATCATACTATTCTATAAGGAAATTTTGGTATAACTTTGGTATTGAAATGAGAGCAAAACACTACATAGATTTTTGGTCTAGCTTTCGGGATAAAACTGGTGGTTTGTCCACATTTACACTTTAACATTGCTCTCAAGTTCTTCAAATAATAATGATGGAAGCCAACTAATTAACCACACTAAAGAAGCAAGAGCCAGCTAATTAACCACACTAACTAAAGAAGCAGAGAGAGAGAGAGAGAGTTGGGTAAGAGAATTAGTCTCCTGCCTTGGTAAGGAAGGAAGGACAGAAAAATCACAATCTCGGTGCTGCCACAAAACTTTGATCATTTGTCTTCATGCATGGGGATGGTAAATCATTCTAACCATCTGTTGTTAGATTCTGAAAGTGAAACCCCACAATCACCCATTTTATTTGTCATTTTATCCATCTATTTTTGCCACGCTGAAGAAACTGATCATCTATGAATTTCCTTTTTCACCAACTTATATAAAGTCCATGTAATGTCAAACCACCACCTTCTTCAAGCTAGATGGCCCTTCCTTCCATGTATGTCATCCTTGACAACTATGACAATGTTACAACCATATGATGCTAATCTTGTTTTTGATGAAAAACCTTATTTAGGAGTCATTTTCTCCATGTAATTATAGTCACCGTTTTCATACAAATTATTCATTAACCCCGTAATGAGAAAAAAAATTGGTGTCCTGAATTGCCCTTTTACGTTCTACAAATTATTTGACGAGTTTAAGTGGATATCAAAACGATATTATACTTCACAATGCCACCGAAACCCTGTTACTCTCACACGCATGTTCCATGGGCATGTCGACGCATGCCAAACACAACCACCAAGTGCAATGAAATTGGGGGGGCGTTTAAGGAAACAAACTAATGTAAGTAATGGAGTTTGGTTAGATCCGCTGAAACATTTGAACATATATGGTTTCAAGCCTACTAAAAGTGCTTTAAACATGTCCGGATCATACTCAACACAATTCTTCAGTGTGTTGAATAACTTCTCTCCCTACCTTATTGCTCCAAAGGCTTTGGATTCCTCGTCCTGCTTTTTATGCAGCCATGTGCTAGCCATTATATTGCATGTAATCATTCGTTTTTGAGAAAAAAAAAAAAACATTGCAAGATCAAAGTTATTATGAGAATTATAGCACAGAATGTCGTCGTGATTAGGTTTTATGAGAATCATGACCTTAGTCACACATAAGTCCTCTCCCTCTTCGTCATATAAAAGTGGGGTTGATTTATCCACGTTCTATTTATATTACCGATTAAACAAGTGACAAGGTGTAAACGCGCGTTTCATAAGTTCAAAAACTTAAATAAAATATGAGTTCAACTAATGCACATGAAAAGTGAAATTGACGAATTACATTGTAGATATGAATCGAAAAAAAAAAAAAAAAGAAAGAAAGCAAGTTTGATTTAAACAATTTTTTTGTTGTAATAATAAGAAATAAAAAAATTAGGTCAATCAGCTTTCTGCCTTTTTCCATGGCCTTGTGATCCTTTTTCATCATTTCTTGGTTGCGGGGTCAACAAGCAAATGCTGCGGTCCTTTGACATAATTGAGCTGTGTGGGAGTGGAAAGAAGAAAGAAGGAACAGTCGGCTACATGTGAGTGTTGTTCTGAAAGTACTAAATAATGCAGCATCTGGTTGCTATTATGACTAATCCAATGCTGTCACAACCTCTTCAAAAAGATGGATTATTATGTCCCATGCTTGGTCTTCTTGGTCCCAAAATGCATCATTCTGTTTATTAGTTTGGGTTTACCCGAACACTTCAATTATGTTCGTCACATGCAGGTAGGAGAAGGATACTGCTAAATCAAGTGATTGTGACCACCTAATTT